AAGAAGAAGAAGAAGAAGAAGAAGAAGAAGAAGAAGAAGAAGAAGAAGAAGGAGGAGGAGGAGGAGGAGGAGAGAGAGAGAGAGAGCTGACGAGGGAGGGAGGAGAGGTCCTCCGGCTCCCAGGTACCTCAGGCGGCAATGGCCGCCGTGCTGGCTCAGTCGCCCTGCTGCTGCTCCGCTTGCTGCTGCGCTAATGCTGCGCTGCCGCTGCCGCTCCTTGCTCGCTCCTGCGCTAAACTTAGCGCATCAAAACAGCGATCTGGCGCTGACCATACCGTACTGGTATAGTGCCGGTAGGTCGATGCCTCCAAGTGAGGCTGTACCGGTACTTTATACCGGTGGGGCAGAGGCCGGCCTCAATGCTGCGAGGCCTGGCCATGCCCTGAACCGTCCAGATGGACGGTTCAGCCCCAACCAGCGGGAGGCAGCCTCAAGAGCGCCGCCAGGCCCAAACGATAATGCCGTTTGGGCCTGCCCGTCGGGTACTGGTCCAAGATCAGGCCCTGAGGGCCTGTACTATCCCAAGGTCGGGCCTTTAGGCCCTGATGTGTCCCTCCGGCCCTATGTCGGGTCCGGTAGGACCCGTGTGCGTCGAAGATGTAACATTGCCGTGTCTTAATATTCGCAGCGTGTTGCTTTCAAAGTCAGAACATTATTTAGGCGTGTTAAGTCCTGTTAGTAGTAATACTGGATGTCTAGGTTTTATTAACTGGATCTATTTAACAGTACTTTTCCATTTAGATACAGCTGTGATTGCATCCAGTCGAGGGGTGCGCTCTACCTGTATCAAGTCTATTGACCAAGCATAAGGGAGCTGTGGACTCTACGAGGGACTGACATCAGTGGACGTTTCAACTGTTCGTTTCCTTGTTTTACAGTACTTGTCGTTGTAGTTGATAATGTACATGGTCGTTGATCATTGAAAAATTGAGAATACGTTGGCATCATTCGCAATGAATTGTATACCTAATTGCTGATGCTTGAGGTGCACCTCTCCAGGACCTGGAAGACTCAAAAGCACAGCTGCAATCATCCCTCTCGGAGACAGAAAAAAGGCTCACTTCAGCTCTGCAAAATGTTGAGCGATCGGCGCAGGAATGTGGACATCTGCTGCAGTTGATATCTCAGGCCGAAGACATTATTAAGGGGGACCGAGTCAACTCTCCGGTACCTGTGAAACCAACTGGCTTTCGTAGACATTCTAGGATTAGCCCTCATGGTTCGCAGACTGAGTTAAGGACTTTTATGGCACAGTCAAATGAACATGGTACTGACCACAGTCGGCAGAATGCTGAGAAGAGGGATGGCAATGTCTTGGGTGGCACGTCTTCAGGAACTCCCACTTCGTCTCATGTCCATCCCCCGACGCCATCATTTCTTGAACGAGTTAGGGGCCTGCATAGTGCCTACGAGAAAGGAAAGGAAGAGAACAAAGATCTGAGGAGAGACCATGTAGAGCTGAAAAAACAGTTCTCTCTGGCAAACAAACATCTGGCCGAGATGCTGGCCTTTATGGATGAGATGGAAGGCAGTTCAGGCGGCAGGGAAGAGGATAAGACCAGTGATGTGGCTGCAGACACATCCCACAGTGGTGCGGTTGACACAGAGGGAGAAGCAGATGGTGAGCAGAGTGCTGTCGAGGGAGGTGCCACATGGAAGCGTGCATCAAAATCAGTAGAGAAGATGAAGAAGCTGAAGGAAGAGTTGCAGGCAGTGAAACTGGATGTGGCTGCTAGAGTGAGGGAGAGGGATGGCTTTCGCGTGCAAGTGGAATCCCTTCAGGAGGAGCGGAGAAACATGCGCACATCTGTGAACACATTGCAGAAGCAACTAGAGACACAAACTGCAGCAAATGAGAAGCTGAAGTCTGAGACGAACTTGTTAATGTCCAAAAGCAAGGAGTTGACAGGAGAGAGGGATGCTTTGCTACTTCAAAAGGAACAGCTGGAGAGTAGGACCCGATCGGAGATGGAGAGGATAAAAGGTGAGAGGATCTCCCTGGAGACTGAGCTCGGTTCTCTGCAGGGCAGACAGCGCTCTCTGAAGGCTGAACGGGACTCTCTGATTGCTGAGCGGGATTCACTGAAGGTCGAGAGGGATGATCTAAAGACGCAGAGAGAAACTCTCTTGTCCAAGGTGGCATTGACAGCCCTTGGAGCAATTGGAGCTGGAGAAGAAGGGTCTGGCATACGGGCACAGTTGCCAGTTCACAGCAGTTTCCAGGATGGTGAAGGCCCTGGAGGGCATAAAAGGATAAGTGGGGGTGCTGAAGGCACAGCACATATGGGTGCTGATGGCGAGGCGAAGTTGCAGAGCCCATCGGAAATGGCAAAGGAGCAAAAGCAGGTCATTGAGTTGGGCTCAGGTGAAGCAGGCAAAGGTGGGAAGGCACTCGTGTCGCTGCAGGTAGGTGAGGATGCCTATGAGCAGGTGTCAGGAAAGGTGGATGGTGACACCAGCACATCTGGGAGAAGCAGTAGGAGAGAGAGTCTTGTTGAGGTTGCAGGGTCTGTGGCAGCTCGTATTCAACAATTGCGATTTGAAAAGCAACAATTGGAAAAGGAGAGGGACGATGCAAAGGCGAAACTTAAGGAAGCTATGCAGGAGGTGGAGCTCTTGCACAAGCAGACTGAAGGTATGCGGCTACCAAACACGAAATCTGCAAGAAATCCAAGAGAAGACAGATCAGTAAGGGAGATAGACAGAGCAAGTCACAGACCTAGAGAGGTCATTGCTATCCCTTCAGGCCAAGGAGACGGCTCTTCTACGTCACAGGTTTCTGGCTTGGCAGATGTCCTAGGGATGGGCATCTCAAAGGAGACGAGCATGGAAGAAGGTGGAGCAAAGGGGGAAAGTGAGGCTGCTGCGAAGCAGAGAAACCAGGAAAGTACAGAAGCCAAAGAATTAGGAAAAATTCAGGGCAAGGATGTTGACAAAACAGATGTAAAAGCAGCGAAGACTCGGGCAAATGCTACAGACGAGTCCAAAGACAGTAAACCAGAGACTGAGCCAGTGGCACATGCACGGGAAAGCCAGGAGAAGAAGCTACAGGTTTTGCTGGACTATGTACGGCATGTTAAGCAAATACTCGTGACTGCTGAGACTTGGTGTGAAAGTCACAGTCTGGGAGATGGGGCTGCATCTGGTCCTAGGCAAATGGATGGGACATTATCAGAAGCGCCTCACAAGACGGGTGTGAGCCAAGGGCCAGACGCCCACCCTTCACCGAGGGCAGATAGATCTGCTGCTGCGGCTCATAAGGATGTGAACTCGTCGGGTGTTGAAGGAGGTGGGGGCAACAACCAGCCGCACCTACAGAAGACGACCAGCCGAAAGGTTAGTGCGAACAAAGGGGCGCATGTTACTGGCCCAAAGGCTGAAGAGAGAGATGAAGGTGAAACCCTGCTCATAGAGGTCAAAAGGTTTGTGGAAATTGTGAGGACTTGTGTTGAAAGGAAGGAGCAACAGCTCAAACAGGAACGAGAGAAAGCCGCCCAGTTGGAACAGGACAAAGTTAATTTGGATTCTGAGTCAGGAAAAATTTATCAGCGACTTGAATTTTTCAAAACTGAAGTTCTGCGTGCCGGAGGTAAGATTTTCTTCTTCAGATTTCTTCTTCTTCTTTTTTCTTTTTTTTTCTTTTTTTTTCTTTTCTTTTGGATAAAACAGGTGCTTATGGTCCTGGCTTCTTTCCATTCTGGGGAGCGTCAGTCCGGTTCCTTAGGGTTCTGGCTCCTTTTCCATTCTGGGAAGTCAGTCCGGTTCCTATTCCACCGGCAAGTCAAAGAAATTACATTGAGAACACGCTCACGCTCACGCTCCTCCCCCTTCTGGTGTGGAGGCCCGAGGGACGGCATTGATTACTTCCGTCTGGAAGGATGTACGACCCCTCACCCCTGCCTAAGTTATCCTACACTACTTTTCTCCAACCTTTTCCTGCTAGTCTGAAGTCCCATTTTACTCTGCCACTTGCAGCTTGCCTAATGTTCCGTCCAGCCAGTTCCTCTCAGGTCCTAGGCTGTCTGATTTCCCTTTCATGCTAGAACTGCTAATTTGGACGCCATCAAAGCAAACACGGCCTACAAGGGTTATTAGATGGACTAGGGTTTAGGGGTTTAGCAACGAGCACAATAAACGTAGCCACGGAGAATACAGTTCTCACATATCTCGCGAGGGAACCAGGGAGACGCTCTAGTCATCCTTTTTCTTTGGTCGTTTGGTTTCCTATCAGGTGGAGTCTGCTTCTGTGCTCATCTGTGGTTTGTGGTCTGGTTGGTCTGTTAGGAATCTTATGGGTCAGGGTTTTAACTCTTAGCTAGATCTTTTGCTGAAAGGGAATCTGCCATTTCTTACCTTTGTGAGGCTATCTGCTTGCTGTTTGGTTCTAGACTTCTAGTGTGTTTATTTCCCCAAGGATTTCCTACTACGTGACTAAGCTGCTGAGTAACGACTCTTGTTCTTGGTGAGGTAGTGTCGCGTTCATCTGGTGCCTATTGTCATGTCTGTGGGGTGTGTTTGGCTTCCCGGAGTATCCGATATCTGGGATAGGACCATGTGACTATGTTTCCATTGTCCAAAGTGGATTCTACCCTGCCCTATCATGGCTGTCTTACCTTCCCCTAGGAGATGTTTTGAGAATGATTCTATTATTTTGTTTTTATTTGTTAGGTTATTTTGTATTTGCATGCAGGTCCTCTTCCAGCATCCTCTGTGCTCAGTTTCTATTATGCATAACACTTCTTCCCATCCCCCTTGTGCGAGGCTCAAGGCCTCGATACGCCCTACTGGGCCCTATTTTCAGTACCGTCGGCCGCCCTAAGTGAAGGCAGGCTCGACCAAGGCCTACAGGTCCATTTTTGGGGTCACCACGCAACTGGGGAAATTCAGGCAGTTGCGCAGCGCCAGTTGGTTGAGAGCGCCCAGGCCCAGGCTGCCTCTTTCGAATGTAACTGAGGCAGGCCCTGGGCCAGATTCGCAACATGGACCAAACACAGGCCGCGGGCAGTTGGACACGGACAACCACCACAAGCCCAGGGCCTGATTCGTGTGGACTGGGGCTCAGCCTCTCTGGGCCTACCGGAAGCTTCTGGGCAGGGGCCCAGCGCAGCCAGGCTGCACGCAAGCAGGTAGGCCACTTCCATTTAGGAAAGTGCCTGCCCACGCATTCGGCATTCGGGCACTGGCTGCATGCTGTGCAAGCGCTGCTGCGCTAACGCTGGCCAGCGCTCACTCGCTCACGGGCGAGCTGGAAGGAGCAGGCAGCCAGAGCCGAGCTGCGCTGTTGTATGCTGGATGGGGCGCATGGTGGTTCTTGGGTGCACGTGGCATCTGTGAGTGGGGGATCGAGGTGTGAGTGATACGAGAGACATACCTGGTGCTTGAGGCGAACGGCATTGGCCGAGATCTGCTCGTACTTCGGGGAGCTGTTGATGTCACCAGCGGCATTGTAGATAGGCTAGATAGGATCTGCCATTTGTAGTCTGGGCGCAGAGCGCCAGATAGGATGTCGACATTGGTTCTTTGTTGATGATGATGAGACTATTCGAACATTGTCACTTATGAGCTTTTGCCGTGCTCTTATTTGGTGGGACTCGTGATGCAATTCTGCTTTTGGTTCGAGGTCGCGACTATCTGGTCTCATGTGTATGATGCTGCTTGGTTTCTGAAGTTCGCTATCGCTCATTTTCCTTGCACTTGGGTGCTCACTACTTTGTGGTCGATCGTTTCCTGGCATCTGCGCTTCCAGATTTCCCATAAGGTGGCTAGTCTCAGCGTCTGGAAGAAGACAATCTCGTACCTGTGCCATGAGCTGGGCAATTGTATTCCCAGCAATAGTGGCAACTGTTCCATTGGAAGGGTCTTGTTTGTGATTAGGACCCACAGTGCTGATGCGTGTTTCCACAGTTATTGTGCTTTTTGACAGCGTAGGAGACAGTGTTCTCTATCTTCTATCATCCCACTTGGGCAGATAGCACAGAGTTCCTAAAGTGGGGACCTCGTCTGGATATTCCTTCTCCTATCTAGCCATGAGTTCACTGGTAAGGCACGGTGGGCAATGAGCCACTGAAAACTTGCTGGACAGTGTTGGCAAAAGTTGTTCAGTTTATTTTTCTGTATAACTACTATAACACTAGGAAGATTTTCATGCCCGGCCGGGCACCCGGGCGTGCAAATAAATAAATAAATAAATAAATAAATATAGATATAGATATATATCATACTTGCAAGCGGACGCCGTCCTGGCGGTTCCGCACGTGCGGCAGACCGCCGGACCGGACCCACGCGGCGCACGAATGTGCGCCCGACAACCAGTTACGCCCCACCCCCCCCAAAAAAAAAAGAAAACGCCCCCGTCCGGTCTGGTCCGGGTCCGTCCGGTTCGGGGGGAGGGTGCCGCACGCCGCAAAGCGGACCGGACCGGACGCTCGTCCGGTTCGTCTGCTTGCAAGTATGATATATATATATATATATATATATATATATATATATATATATATATATATATATATACACAGCCCCTCGTTTGTTGTCCTCTTCTCCCTCTCTGCCTACGGTTTACCGGGCAGTTCTATTTGACGATATATATACCAGCCCGTACGTACGGAGGCCCCCTGGCGGACCTCCGTACATTCGGGCGTTCGGGGTCCCGTTCGGGGTCCGAACCCGAAGGGGTTCGGACCCCCGCCCAAAATTATTTCAGCACCTAAAAATATTTTTGTTTTCTGAATTTTTTTTCGTGCATTCTCTATGATGTTAGGTACATGCTTATAAATTTTGAAGTCATTTTGCTAAGCCCAAAAAAAAAAGAAAAATCTCCAAAGATGGAGGTGTCAAAATGTCCTCACCCACTCACAATTTTTTTTTTCTTCATTTTTTTATTTTTGTTTTCACTTTACTTCGGGGCCTAAAACATTTTTTTATTTTTTGAAACTTTTTTCATGAGTTTTTTATCATCAGAAGTACACATATGTAAATTTTCAGGGCATTTGGCTATGTCAAAAAAAAAAAAAAAAATCGCCAAAGATGGCGGTGTCGAAAATGGGCTTGCACACTCACTAATTTTAATTCTCTCATTTCTCTTTTTATTTTTTCTTATTTTTCTTGTTAGTTTTTATTTTCCGTATTTTATTTTTATTTAAAATTTGGTAAGGAATTTGGATGTAATGCTCAGGCAAATTTTGTTTATTTTATCTTTTTCCATAACATATGTTTTTTCAGATTTTTCTGATTTTTTTTTTTTTTTTTTTTTTTTTTAATATTTTTTTTTTTAGATTTTTTTTTTTTTTTTTTTTTTTTTTTTTTTTTTTAAAGGTCCTGGTTCGGCCCGAACGACCGAACGCATCCCCAAGGGGTCCTGGTTCGGCTCGGTCGATAGGTGCTTGGAGTGGCTCGGTGGGTAGGTGCTTGGAGTGGCTCGGTGGGTAGGTGCTTGGAGTGGCTCGGTGGGTAGGTGCTTAGAGTGGCTTGGCGGGTAGGTGCTATAAGTGGCTTGGTCGGGTAGGTGCTTGGAGTGGCTCGGTCAATAGGTGGTTAGAGTGGCTTAAGGTGCTTGGAGTGGCTCGGTCGGTAGGTGCTTGGAGTGCCTCGGTCGATAGGTGCTTGGAGTGGCTCAGTCGGTAGGTGTGGCAGTGGCTCAACGGGTAGGTGCTTGGAGTGGCTCAGTCGGTAGGTGCTTCGAGTGGCTCGTTGGGAAGGTGTTTGGAGTGGCTCGGTCGGTAGGTGCTTGGAGTGGCCCGGTGGGTAGGTGCTTGGAGTCGCTCGGTGTGTAGGTGCTTGGAGTGGATCGGGGTGTAGGTGCTTGGAGTGGCTGGGGGTGTAGGTGTTTGGAGTGGCTCGGTCGGTAGGTACTTGGAGAAAGTTGGCTCGGTCAGTAGGTGCTTGAGTCACTCGGTCGCTAGGTTCTTGGAGTCGCTCGGTCACTAGGTGCTTGGAGTAGCGGGGTGGGTAGTTGCTTGGAGTGGCACGGTGGTAGGTGCTTGGAGTGGCTGAGTGGGTAGGTGCTTGGAATGGCTCGGTGGGTAGGTGGTTGGAGCGGCTCGGTCAGTAGGTGGTTGGAGCGGCTCGGTCAGTAGGTGCTTGGAGTGCCTCGGTCGGTAGGCGCTTCGAGTCGCTCGGTCAGTAGGTGCTTCGAGAG